ACTGTATGAAACTGGGTGTATCCTACTGGAAACTTCTAAGTTATTTCTAGCCTACTAGGAGAGCAATGTGGAAATTCTGCTTATCGGATGAATATAGCGTGTACTCTAAGATACTAGATGAGATTATATACCTTGTAAAGATAGGAAAGAGTAATATGAAAAATATGCCTTCAGGTTATGCCTGTGGGTGTTGATCCTAACTGTTCAACAATAATGGTCCGGTTTAGCAATTTTAAGACATGCTTTAAACGGTGGGAATAAACCCATAGTAAGTGCTTTAATTTTGTATTTAAAATAGAGCCAATTAAATTAACTAATCTGGAACTATATCTAACAGATCTTTACATTGTCTAATCCAGTAGCTGTACTGTTGTTTATTTATATAATGTTGTTATTTTTGGACTTAAAGCATATTAGCATGCCCTTGAACTTTACTTTACAACATCACCTAAAGATTACCAATCCTATTGAAATCATAGTTACAAATAACATTTGATCAATATGATATTCTTTTGCTCTCTCTGCATAAAACCGAATTTTGCAAAGTTTGTTAACTTTGATTTATATGCTTAATTTTTTTTTCATTTCATTTATACTGTTCGGTAATTTTCAAAGTGTTCTTAATAAAGGGAGCTGTCTATGTGCATGATTCCCTTTTCAAGAGAATTGAGAAAAAAATTAGAGAAAAACACTGGAACATCTGGAGAGCATGCTTAAACTCTTTGATCAATGGGAATTCTGGAGAAAAATAAAGTGTTCATCATTTTCTCTTGCAAGAAAGAAATTGTTAGACAGATGTTCACACAGCTTTTGAACATCTCCGTTATACAGATGGATGCTGAAGGTTTTCGTGCCCTGTTGAAATGGTAGCTGTGACCCTCTAGACTGTCCTCCCCAAGACAAATGTTGATGCACACAAGCCCTGAAGCTTTACTTTGCTTAAAGCACACCCACAACAGGACAACTACTGCAAAATAACACATATGTCTGGAAAGGAACAAATGTTGAGGTAGAATTTCTGTCTTCTTTCCATGAATTAATATAAGCATCGTGTTTATATTATATACAGGACCCATACTGCATTTGTCCCAGCTGGCACAGCACTGCTGTAAGCTGTAACACTGGTGAGCAGGCAATACAGAAATTTTATACTCGTTACCTGTTGCTTGTGGCAACAAAAACATGCATCTAACCTTTTCAGTCCCCTCATCCTGATGCTGCTGTGTTCGAGACCTTTCCCCTTCCATTAGGTCAGGGCAACTCAACAGTTTTCTAATTCAGGAAAAATATATGTTGTCACAAAAAGAACGAAAATGCAGACAAATTAGTTGCAATACTTTGCTAATTATACTCCTGAAAATGTAAGAATATGAGCAAAAATTGTGTGAAGGCTTCATTCCACGTACTGGATGTGATGTGCCTAGTGATCCAGAGCAGATCCACTGAAGTCAATGAAATTTTAGTACCATAAACCAAAAATAAGGCACTTTTTTTACACCAATCCATAGCACAATATTTTTTGCCATGGAAAGAAAGAAGGAAAATTGGGTTCGCTTTTCACATTAAATAGAAAGAACCTGCTGTATGCACGGGGAAAGAATAGAGGGCCAAATCAGACTAACTTGCACATAACTAAATCTGAGAATGAATCAACATAAACACTCCAGCTCTGTTCCTAACACATTGCCTGAGATATCCATTCACTATGGAGACATTTTGCTGACTGGTTCACTATCTCATGCATCACTTGGTGTCTGGATATTTCTGCTGTGTTCAGTTAGATTTTGTTACCCTTTTCTAGTCTAACCACATTTGTTATTCAGTATGGCACTCCTAGTATTCTTTGAGATACGGAATTTGACAGATGAAAGGGACCTGTTGCAGGTTAGCTGGTCAAGTATTTCAAAATTTCAACCTTGCAGACTAACACTGTACATTTTTCTGGATGAAAGCTGGATAACATTTTCGCTAAGGGAGGAAGGCTCCTCCATTTCAGTGGTATCAGCAATGACTTTTGGAACTGACGTTGTTTATTAATAATGCAGTCACGTTAGGGCTTGTTTTTTGTAACACTCCATGTGGTTTATTAATGAAATTAACTTGGTAACTGTTACTCTTATAAAAAAAAATGATAACATACAGATGTACAAACCCACATTCATGTGTTGTTTTATTGGTGCATTACAACATAACATTTCCTTCACATTGAGAAAGCATGAGATTAAAATACATTGATCCACAAAAATGCCTTCCCCACACTGACTTTGCACTGGTAATTACAGCGCCTACAGATCCCCCTGCAAGTTTCATTTCATTAAGTCTTTCATAATTTTAATGACATTTTAATCAAAGCTTTTACATTGTCCATTTCATGACTTTCAATTTAATTAATCCCATTAAAATATGTTATTCTTTACTGCTTTGTAAAGTTCACCAAGTACTCTTGCAATGTAAGTTTTTATGCTGCATTACACTCCATATTCCAATCTTTTAACAGCCACTGCCTTTTGAGGGCTGTATAAGCTTTCCCCATCCCAAAGAAGAAAGCTGTTTGTATCAAAAGCCATTAAAATACTGGGAATGTGTACAGCACAGTTAGGAGGCCCCAGTCATTTTTGAGAATAAGCCAGATCTATATAAAAACATGCAAAATGCTCTATGCATCAGTATTAAACTTCTAATTTTGATGTAAGATTTTTTTTTTAACATTTGCATATAACCTGGAAGATTAGGGTTCCGGCTGAAAGAAAAAGCTAATGGTTAAGCCCAATACACTGTAAAGACATGATACCCTTCCTCTAGGGCTTTCATTAATCCTCCCGTATGAAGTAATAGAAAATGATATTCCTATTACAGAATTCTGTAGGATGGTTTAAAAACTTTATAGAAGGATTAAACGTTCACTAAACTGCGTGGATTTCTAGAATAAGACCTCGATCACACTAGAGGAGTGTTCTGCCAAATCCAGTTCAAATGCAACGCCAGAATAATTTTGCTTTTCTGATGCTGGTTTTGCAAACTAGCATGTATACACCAGCAAAACCACAGTTATGTTTGGGTAACTGTCTCTATGCTATAGCTTAGAATACTGTAACTGTCAGCAAAAAATCCTGCCTCTAACTGACATAGTCAAACTGGTACCAGTTTTACAAGTAGATCAGGCCTGATTTCATAGAACTCTCCTGGGTTCATGCCTATTACATTATTTTCCTTAATGTAATTTCCTATTTATAGTTATTTCCAAATACCATATAAGTTTATACATAGTAAGGTTGCATCCTCTTGTACACAAATAATACCTATATTTTTAAAGGGATTCTAATTAACTTTATTTTATAAAAATTCAAGTGTTGCCAATCAGGAAGTAGCTCTTCTCCAAAAATCTACAAAGCTTACCTTTGGGAAAAGTAAATGACAAGCCTTACATAAAGACGCTGAGCTCTCTGAATAACAAAATGCCTACAAGGCCAATACATATTCCAACAGGAACACATAAATTATAAATATGACAGCAGTCTCCTCCAGTCTAAAGCACCATAATAATGGTCTTTGATCAATGCTACCTTGAACGCTTTAACCAGCAGGTCCGGATAAGAAATGTTCAACTGCCAAGATGTGGTCTGGAACATTTGCCTGCATTTTCACAGGATATCTAAGAAAAAAATAAAATTCTGGAATCTGACATTCTGCCATCCAAAGGTACACCATTTCACAGGAATGTGATGTATACTGCATAGTGCATACGTAACAAAACAGGATCCTACAAACAATAAATTAACTAAAGTCATACAGTTTGTAATCTTCTCCGTACCAACAGTGTTTGGATTCAGGTGAGTTTCAGTTCAGGTACCAAGCCAACCGTTGAAAACATCATGCTCAAGTACATGATGAGCTGAAAATGTGGAATGAGTCTAGTGGGAAACTGTCACCAGCATTCCTCTGGATATGTTACAGTGCTGGAGACCACCACAAGCATTCATGGTTGTGCACCCAAAGTCACAAATGAAAAATCTTTGCACTTCTTTAGATCACCAATGATGCAGTGAGTCACTACACAAGAATTAACATGGCACACTGAGATTCACACAAAACATTGTTTTTATCCCCACAGTTTTAGGATTCTTTAAAAATTTGTTTTAAATATTTGAGCTTGTTGAATGTCATGGATCTTCCTGTCCTTCATTTTCTTTTGACAGTAATTACTGCAAGAAATCTCAAAAAATTGCTAATGATGTAATACCACGTTTCTAATCCATCCTATGAACATACATGTTTTTGTAAACTGATACTTTTAACAGTGTGGAATTTCTTGAATGTTGGAATCATCCTGTGGAACTACTAATGCACGAGGCTTGGCTCTCACAAACACAACCATTCACACCTTTCGGCTGCTTGATCATTAGTAGCTCAGAATGACCTTGTTAAAACTGTACAATTAATATGAAGTTCTACCAGCACGTGGAGATTTTTTTAATGCTAAAAGGCAATAAGATAAACATAAGGATGATACCCTAACTTATCAAATCATATAAAGAAATGGCTGGCCACAACAGATGGTGAACATCTGATGAAAAGTGCTGGGTGTACTCACCACCCATCAAAATCAATAAGAGCTGAAGATGACCAAAACTTACTAGGAGATACTCAGTATTTCAGAAAATCTGTTTCCAGATCTACTGTATCTTCAACCACATCTTCTTAAAATTACTCTCTTAACCATTCACCACGTGGGATTGTTTTTATTTTCTTTCCCCTTCCCTCAAGTCGTTTCTCTGTTTGCAGTAGACTGAAAACAGATAACTCAGCAAGTCAATATGAACTGAAAATTTAACTTTAAAAGTATGATGATATTGCGGCATTAAAAATAAAACATTTAATGTCTCTTTAAAAAAGGAAACAAACAAAAGAAAAAAACATGTACAGTAAGAAACACCGTGTTAAGAGACCAGTTTGGAGAAAATGTGAGAAGGCTAAAAGTTCATTCTGCACATTTCTTCAAGTCATACGGGACCTTCAGTTATTCCCTCTAGAGGCAGGCCAGTAGCATTATCTGCTGTAGGTCTCTCTTCTTTCTTCACAGAGTTCTGATCTAGCATGCTGACATACGATTTATGACACGCGGTATTACCCAAAGGAGGGTAGTGTTGTCTGTAGCAAATATAAGCAAAAATGAGGCCAATGATCCCTCCAACGAAAGCATCTAGATAAGAAAAGCAACAAAACCAAAAGCACGTTACCATGGAAAGGTCAGCCAGTCGTGACAACTGTAAATAAAAGACATTTGTTTGACCTGGAATTGTTTAACCCAGAAAATGTGAATTTCAAACTTTCATAAAGAATTTGGAGCCAAATACCACAATCACACAGGACACATAAAAACATTTTGAATACTGAAAATATGGTTGTTGGCTATGTTCCAGGAGATGAACAAGCAGAACAGAACAGCCTCCATGGGGCATTAAACATTCGTGATATTCCAGCTCATCACTGACCAACATTTCTGGGTGGGCAACCCACGTTATCTTCTTCCAGTTTGCCACGATTCACCAGGTTTTGTATTTATGAACAATACAGCTGAACTATGCTGTTACTCCCGCTGACAGGTACGCCTCCAATTATTGCACTGACTACAGGCTGCTCCTTGTCTCTGCCCAAGTACCCCCAGGAAAGATGGCAGCTAAAGTGCCAGATCTACTCTTGACTGTTTTGTATCCCAGAAGGCATTCTCCAATGCAGACAGGGAGCAGGCAGGGTATGAGATGGAAAATTACTTCCTTCAGGCAGTGGGCCACTGTGGCTAGAACAATTAATTTCACTTGCAGCTCCTGAGCGACCCCTGAGAAAGACAGCTGTCAAGAACAATTTCAAGCTAAGTGAATTCTTCCTAAAAGCACCTGAAAGGTCAAAGACTAAGCATGCCTGTTAACTGATTTAAGACCTTTTGAATATCTTTCTCTGATGCTCTTTACTACCCCATACTCCTACCAGAAAATAAGGCCATTGTATGAGATATTTGCAGCTCTCACACACGGGCAATTTTAAGTTTTCCATGGGAACCGCAAAGCACCTGAAGGGTAAGAGGATTTGTTCTGCTGTCACATTCTCTCTGTCTCTTACTAATACACTTGTCTGATCTTGTATTTAATTTTCAAGCAACCAGAGCAAAATTTCACTGAAAATACACGCTGACTTTGAAAGCCTCAGACTTGAACGCAATCAATAATGGAAGCAAGACAAAAGGCACTGGTTAAAATACGACTTGACACCATGTTTTATTTTAACAAGACTTACTAAGCACCATACCATCTGTGTATACCTGTGTTTCCGTATTTTACTTTCAGCTACAAAGAAACCACAATGTAATAAAAATGATGAATCATGGAGTTTACTGACAAAGGGTAAATCAATACAAATTATTTTTGCCTAAAATACTTAAACACCGATTAAATGTCCTATTTTGTCAGTCCAGTATACATTAGAACAATGGGCACGTGGCCCAATTTTAAGTTCTAGTTATTGTGTAAAGATTAATTTTCTAGAAAAGTGTTGGTTGCAAATCTCAGATTACCCTCCTTTAGCTATGGTTGATCGAATACTGTTCCAGCTGCTTTTTTATTTTGGTTAACAATGAAGTCAAGTCTATGATTACTTTTTTTTAATTGTGGAGAACCACCATATTTCTGTCAGTTCTCTATAGGTTCCCCAATATTTCAAGACTTGCTGAAAACTTGTCTAGATAATCCCTTTCAAAACACTTCAATGCAAATTATGCAACTCTGGGCCCCATTTTGGGCACTACAGTAACGCAAATTCACTGCATGATTTATGGATTTCCAGCTTACTGGTCTTGACGGGGTATAATGAGCAAACAAACAGGCAGCTATTTTGACTCCTGTTTTTGGAGAAAATTATGTGGTTTTTTTGAGCTCATGGTAGCCACAGCCTCCTTTTTTTTTTTCTTTTTTTTTTTCTTTTTTCTCATTTGCCCATGTTCTTTCAGACTTAGTCTTTACTTTTTTAATAAAAAATTTTCACTTATTTCATTATTAAATAAACATTTTCAGACTTATAAACCTATACAGAGATCTAGGGACTTAAAAGCAGTCAATACATTCAGGATTAATAATGAAATATCCTAATACTCACCAGTACTAACACTGAGATCTTGAATACCACATTCTCCAGCCAAACTGAAGTGAGCTCAAAATCACTCATAATATTAACGTTCTGAGCCCACTCAATGGCTTTTTAATGTAAGGATACTCCACTCCATCTTTCACCTATAGTATGCCAAGTCTTGGACGTTATATTGATGGTCCTTGTTCATTCCCCACAGCATAGTTAAGGCTCTATCACAAAGCCACCATAAGTAATTTAAGACAATTAGTTGACTCTGCTGAGCCTAAAAGACGAGACCTGAGCTTTTGTGCTGTACATTACAGAGTGAACTAGTCTCTCTCTTGAGAATGCAGTTTGTACAGGTAAAAGCAAAGTCACCTGCAGGATAATGTCTGCCAGCACTGATCCTAGCTTGGGAAGAGCTGTGTTCAGCTCCATCTCCTTAAACTTCAAAGGCAAAAATACGAGCAGCTATAATGGACACAGTCACATCCCCTTGGGTGTAGTTTTTTTCTGTCCTAAATAAAATACATCATAAGAGTCTGCCTCGTAGCTCACGTTTCAGTACATAAGTAACTCTTACTCTTGGCAAGAGACAGTACACACTGTAAACATGTGCTGAAAACTTTAGAGTAAACCTATACACCCCCATTCCCTTTCATTCACACTCTTTTCTCTCTCTTTAACAAAGAGCTCAAGCCAGCCAAGTGTCGCACACTGAGCACGAGAATCGTAACTGCCGACTGTCCTGCCTGCCAGCCTGGCCAGGCACACACCTCACGTTCAGCAGCTTTGTGCTGGAGGCTCTGTCCGACTCCGAGTGTCGGTGAGCAGAAAAATGAGCCCTGGAACAAGACAAGGCATCTGCAGGAAACCAGGAGACTCCTTAAAGAACATGTCAAGGCTAATGGTTGGTGATTAAGCAGCTATGGGAGAACAGGATGCTGCATGAACACAGAAAACAGGGCAAGAAAAAACAAGGATGAGTCCTGCTCTGGCATGCTGACTGTTGTGTGAGATAAAGTGCTCAGTGGGATGGAGATATGCTGTACTTCGGTGAAACTGTGTAGAGGAACAAACAGAATGATATGTCTGTGTTGAGGCTGCATGGCCAGGTTTTGGTAGCAGGGGAGCAGAGATCCACCTGCAGCCTGGGGAGGACCCCATGCCGGAGCAGGGGGATGCCCGAAGGAGGCTGTGACCCTGTGGGAAGCCCACGCTGGAGCAGGCTCCTGGCAGGAGCTGTGCCCCCGCAGAAGGAGGAGCCCAGACTGGAGCAGGTTTGCTGTCAGGAGCTGTGACCCCACAGGGGATCCACGCTGGAGCAGTCTGTGCCTGAAGGACTGCACCCTGTGGAAGGACCCACGCTGGAGCCATTAGTGAAGAAATGCAGCCTGTGGGAAGGACTCACATTGTATATAAATATGATAATGTACACTGTGATATAAAAATTTATAATTTTCTATATAGGAAATACAGAATATAGGGACCACTGCAGTATTTTCAGACACTGAAACCCTCAGCATCAATCCAGGAGCAAGGAAAGTCTATAGCATGCTATTGTGGTTTAACTCATTTGATTTAATGAAAAAAAAAAAAAACAAAAACCAAAACACAAAGAAATACAAGGCTAATTTTAAAAAAGTAGGGAAAAAAGGTATCTCCATGGCTCACCTTGCCAGTGATGTTTGTAATCACACATACGTGACAGGGCAATCATCATGGCACAGTAGAGTGGGAGAATCGCTGCACAGAGCCGCCAGCTCTTCCCCCGGCCATTTTCCGTGAAGCAGTGTAACTTTCCAGCTAAGTAGAAGGTGGTAAAGCCAAGGCCTGAAAATGCAACTGATAAAGAAAAACACATAATTACAGTATTTTGTCATTAACACTGTACAATCCTACCCTTTAAGATCTGACAGCAGGATCCTTCTACTGCAGAGATGTCTTGGACTTTCTAGGGTGATTGTAGGAACCAAGGTAAGTTCAGAAGACCCATCTGCCAAAAACTGAGGGATTTTCATTATTTGAATGGTGATTCCTATGTAACCATATAAATGATGCTGTTATAACTTAGTATTTTAAGGGGATGTAGCAAATAGCCTAGCTAGACAGCTTTCTTTAGTTTTTTTGGTTTGTTTTTTTTCTGTTGTGTTTTTTGGTTTTGTTTTTCGTTTTGTTGTTGGTTTGTTTTTTTTGTTTTTTTAATCAGGCAATCGTGATCTTATAAACTTTAAAAAAACCACAGTTCATTGGGGGCTGAATGGGAAGAGGTAGTCTCCCACAAGATCCATGACATATGTATGTTCTCCACAGTGGTGTTATCTATGTAGCAATGCAAGCAACCAGGCAAGTGAACACTGCAAAGCAAATCATCTTCCTTCTCATAGATACTCAGCTTTCACATAATCTGATATGTCTGCAAATACTGTCGTACCTCTCATGTTTCATCTATCCTATCACAATTGAGTGATTGGATATTTTTTTCCTCTGGGGGAGACATCGGCTGTGGAAAGAATCCCTGATTTTCTTTGCACATTAAATTAAACATTAGGCACATTTTTAACTTGAGTCACAAAATCTTTCATGCTTAACTTTCAGCACATCTTTCCTGATTTTAGCCCTACTCTAAAAAAGCTAACATTCAAAGCAGAAAATTATTCAGTCAGTTTGTACTGCAATTGAATTACATTTAAATGAGATTTTTAGGTTCCATTAACCTGTTTCTATAGAACATGCATAACTGGCAGTGACGACAGAACTTAGGCACCAAGTTTCTGCCCTGAACTTCCTTCCTCTTGCAGCTGTTTACTTTCCAGAAGGGTACTGGATGGATTTTTATTTTTTTTTTAATATTCATTCTTATTAAAAAAAGCTTTTCTTTTTTTTTTTTTTTTTTTTTTTTTTTTCTAGAGGAAAATCAGCACTGTGGCTGAACAGGTAGCTCTGTGAAACACATCTTCTATTTTCTCCACAAATGTCATACTCAGTTTTGCTCCTGACTGCATGAGATCAAAACAGAACATAAGCACACAAGCTGTAGATAGCAAAATTATAAATATTTATCCAAGCATTTGAAATCCCTTTTTCTGACAACCTTTATACTTCTTATCTTTGTGATATCTAAGCAGCTCTATAAGAGTTAACAGGTCACATTCATAATACACAATTCTGTTCTGATTCTGCTATCAGCACGTTTAGTGGTAAAATCACCATCAGTGCTGGGTCAGACATACATCTTTTTTCTCATCTTCTGCTATATCTTTTCAAATGCCCTTCTCCTCATGTTCCCAGATCCTAGATGGAATTTGTGTTCCACTGATAAATCTATGGGATGGTCAATTTTTGCCGACAGTACAACGGAGTGGTTTCATAAGTTGATACTACACAGCTGTTTGAATGCAATTACTGAAGATTTGCATTTTATCTTCAAACACACAAATGAATCACTTCTTTAGACTGGTTGTGGCGGAGCAAGACAGAATGCTGATTAGTCATCAAACCACTGTACCAAATATACCGTTTCCTAGAAGCTTTTTCAACCAGTGCCAATTCTGTACTTGTCAGAAGGCAGTGGGAGGCAAACTATAAATATAACAAACAATCTTGAATAAATAAAAGATTTATTGCAGACTGAGCTACCTTCTTGTGCATAGACCTTTGAGAGTCATATAAACTTGCTCTGCCTTTCAGGCTACCTATCAGACAAGAATTTATTTCTTCTGACATTTCTACATCACAACATTCTTGAACTATATGTATTTTTTTAAGAGCAGCATGTCTTACGCAGAAACAGGCTGTGAGATGCATAGTCAGAGCACCAGGCTATAGTCACCACAGAAAAAATAAATCTGTGATCCTGACAACATACCTCAGAAAACTGGAATACCCCCCCTCCCTTTTCAAACATTCTCTTCAACACTTAGTACCCAGCGTAGACTGACATACTTAAAACAATAAATAAACATTTATTCTTCTTTCCAGTGCAGACTTTCTCTTGTGCCTCTCACATTTGCTGGATTAGCCACCAGAATACAAGAAAAGACAACACTGCTCTCTTTTGTGCTCTTCCTGTTGCACTAGGTAATTTTTGTGGCATTGTCTTCCGCATCAAAGATCTGCAGCTCTTTATAGGGGTTTTGCTTTTTTTTGGATGGCTAACAACACACATTCGTGTCTGTGTGAGCAGACATAGGGCTGTCCATTCTGCAGAGCTTTGGAACTAGAACCATGTATAAACTTACCTGAGACTGCAAGGACAGGACTCGTCTGCATCATTCCATCTGCCAGTTGAGTAAACGGAGTGAACAAAACTAAATCTACCTTGAATATTCAATATCAAGTGTAATCCAGGAATGGATACTTTCAAATGCTTCCCCTCAAAAATTAGTTTTTATTTTCATATTTCCATTTTCCATCTCAGGTTATTATTTTTTAGGTCTTTAAAAGAAGACGAATGAAAATCTGAAGACAGTTTTTCCAGGCAGAAGTATCAAGTGCTTTGTGGCTTCATTTTTAGGCAATACACAGTGCCTAGCAACTGAGAGGGCTTAAAGAAACACTGCCCAAACTAGAGCATGGGTGTTCAGTTCACACAGACTCGCATTCAGGATTACTAGCATTTGCCAGGGAATTTTACTAGAAATTGTCAGTGTGGTGGACAGCAGCAGAAGATTTAGCTAAATGCACTTCAGGGCAAACCTTGGGATATTTTTAAATAATTATTTCCCTTGAATTTGTTTTTTTTCAGGATCTGCCACATTTCCAGAAGGAAGTGCTCATGAACGAATACCAAAGTTCATCAAAATCTCTGCTTGCGCTAGACACAAAGGCAGATTTTGCCTTAGATTGTTGATGTGTTCCTCTAAGCTGAAGGTCAGGAAGAAAAGAATCACAAACACTCCTCCAGGGGAACTTATGCCTAACGTAAGATGGAAAAGTAATATAATGATGCTCTACCCTGTGGCTATGAAACTAATATTCCGCAGAGCAGCTTCACATTGCAATATTGTAAGACTGACTTCCCTTACCCTGGAGCATGCACATCCAGAAACAGCTGCTTGACCCCACAGTCCCCGTGTGTGCAGAGTCAGCAGAAAAGAACATGGAATTAACAGCTAAATGCTCTGGGATGTGAGAGTATCCATTATAACGGTAACTATATATTCCAGGACAGCTCAATTGCTGTGCACTCCAGGTAGGCAAGTTCTCTGCTTGACGGCTATATATTGAAGATGTTGCCAGTCAATAACATTAAGAAAAACAATACAGTCTTCAGGAAACCTGGGACTATAGGTGATACTCACACAGAAGAATTGGTCAATCAGTAGAACATATTTGAGCAAATTTTTTTCTGTACCAGCTAGTCAATACCTCATTGTATCATAGAAAATGCAAACACACCCATACACACATCACGTGCGCTAATATATTACATACTGCCTAATGTTGTAATAAAATTTATCATTCTGCATAAGAAGACAGATTCCAAAGAATCAGCAAAGGAATGTTCCTCATCTACACAAACACTCCTACTAAGTTGGTTTCTTCCTAGATCATAAGAATGTAATACTCTTTTTATAGGAAGAAGGCAAGAGCAACATAAAATACTAACCAGCCCGCTTTGGAGACATTAGCAAAAATGAAAATAAGAAAATCAGTCTGTCAGTTTAAAACAATGTTAACTCAAGACAGATGTTGATGCAAATTCCAGATAGAAGTACTTAATTGATTTTAAATGTTGGAAGAGGAGAATTGATGCAAACACAGTGACAAACACCTACTGAGGTATAACCAAAAGGAAGATATCCGAGTAAGTTTATTTACTGTTACAGCAATGACAAGAGCAAAAGAATTCACAGGGGGAAAAAAAAAAAAAAAAACAAACAAACAAAAAAACCAAACAAACAGAAAAAAACAAAAAAAAACAAAAAAAAAAACAAACCAGAGAAAACCTGGCACACCTTCTGCCCAAAGAGCTCATGTACTAAGCTCTCATCCTGCAATTGGATCAAAGGGGGCAGAACCGTGTCACCAGGGAAAACCTCAATGGGGATAACGGCACTCTGTAATGGTACCAGGTCCAAGCCTTGCAGAGCTGATGAATGAGCAAGCAGTAGAGGAGAGAAAATGGAAGAGTCAACAAATCCTCAAAACTAAATAGGTTTTTAGAACTAAATGGATAGCTGTAGATTGCTGTGTGAAGACAAGGAAGTGGTGCTTTGACTTTTACATCCTAATGGTTTATTAATTACCAACTTAAGAGATTGCCTTTCACCTTTTTTGGGTAGGTGGGGTAACTAGAACGGCTATTGGAAGGCACGTTTTAAAACTATACCATAATGGTACTTGAAACATGTCAAAAATCAGATTCCTCTTGGGTATTATCATTATTGGAATAAATAAAACTACGTTAGACTCAATTTTTCAGTTTGTTTCTATCACCTTCTTTAAAAAAGAAAAACCATTCACAGAAGAAACGAAGACTATGATAGCACCTAGAGATACAGTAGACCCCATCCTGACACCTGATTCTCTCCAGACAGGGGATCTAGGCAAGTTTAAAAACCTATCTGGAGGGACCAAACGGATTACCAAGTTCAAATGCATAAAGTGAGAAACTGTGAACAAGAATCTGATCTAAAGCACCCCAAATAAATTATTCATTAAAAATGTAATTGCTTTTGTGGGTGTTTTCTGGAAATTAAACTACCCGACGAGGATCTTCAGCTTCTCAAGTTTTAATGAATGCTTTGCTAAGCACACAATGCATGTCTTCTTCACACTAAGCAGTTTTTGAGCTGAAGAAAAAAATCCTCCACTTATTTGAGTGGCAACAAATTATGAAA